GGTCCAGCGGGTCACAACTGTAAGGGCCATTCCATCACCCGCCCTGACTGCAAGTCTCCGAGGAACACAATGCTTCGATTCCTCTATAAGCAGGACGTGGGTCACTAGACCACAGATGGTGTTTCACCTGCCCACAGATTCGTCTAACAAACCTCCTTCTCTGCCCTCAGAGCCCTCACAGCCGTCCTCCTCAGTTCCTAGTACAGACTGGAGTTGCCACCAAGTCATGCACTGCGACTCCTCTCGATAATATCGAGGGCGCCCTGCGAGATCACGGGCACACAGCTGCCTGACATCCACCCTACACGCTGTCTCACAAAAAGTGAACTGTATCAGGCGGGATCCCAGCCACCCTGCACTGTCACTTTTCACCCTCCTCCCATCTGGGAAGCGACTAAAGTCCATTTGGACGTGCACCTCTAGGTTCAGGAACAGTTTCTACCGAACTGCAATCAGACTCATGAACAATCAGTAACCTTGTGTCACCTTCACTGCTAACTACACATATACTTCTGCCACTGTCTCTATTTATTCCTGGGATTCTGGTCTTATTTATTTACTCATTGTCTTGTTGTCTAGCCGTCTTGTTGTCTATGTTCACTGTCTGCAGGAGCACATGCAAGCAAGCATTTCATTCTACATGGTACTCGTACTTGTACACATGACAATAAAGAATTGACAATTGACAATTGAGATGAAACAGCTCCTTCTGGGAACACTGGCAACACTAACACAACCCTTGGCAACCTTCAGGGTCTTATCACGGATGGTCTCCCACATCAAGAGTCAGCAGTTGAATCCAAGTCTGCAAGTTCCTCACAAAAACTGCATGCAAACTCATCAGAAACAGCCTGATCTTGAAGTCTGGCTCAGTCCAGCCTCATACTTCTAGTAGCTGGATCTAAGCTGAATCTTCAGAGTAGCATCGGAAGGAGCCGATCTGTTACAGCAACAGGTACTCCCTGAGTATGGCAGCCATCAGACCGACCAAACCAAAAGTAGGTATACCCATCTACAAAGATCTAGCCACTCCCCAGTCTGCGTACCTCAGAGAGTGGTGCCGCTGAAACGCGGACTTCACAAAGCTCCCCCGACAGCAGAGGAAGATGGTCATCTTGCCGGAGAGACAAGACGTTCCTCGTGCCAACCTGGATGGGTCGCCTCAAACTGGGACCCATGTGTTGCAGCAGGCGAGGCCTCAGCACCACACCAGCCCCGATCCCCAACAGGTTTGACCCTATCGGCTCTCCAACAGTTTCTACTCATCTGGGGATGGGGTTCCCAAAGGCTTTCCCACATACTCTTCATGGTGTGTGTAGCCTTCCTACGGGCGGCTGCAGCAGAGCGTAGAGTAGAAGAGTAGAGGAGAGTAGAAGAGTATCATGCTTGTTTGAATCGATCCCGAGTTGTGAGTTGTTTTTCGGTGGCTGGAGTGCCAATCCCCCCACCAACCCCCAAAGAAATTGTTTCCCTGCAAGTTGGGGGACCGCTTGCGGGGCCGGATGCAGTTTAACATCATACCCAAGACAGGTACTCTTTCACCTTATAAAAAATTACTGTAACTTGTGTATTAGGCTATGCAATTTAGGCTCGTATAAATACACTATGATGTTCGCACAATGAGGAAATTGCCTAGGATACATGACTGTATTCAGTAACATTGTGTTTTTGTTAGGTAGCCATTACATTTCAGCATAGTCTGAAGCAATATTTCACGTTCACTAACTTACATAATAGTAAAATACTGTAGTGGTTAGGCTTTATTACATCGCTCTAAATTAATCTATAATGGACGGTGCCTACCGTGTTGTCCCCATAAACTACACACACATACACAGTAGGCACTCGGACACACACACATACCATGGACACAATAATTTTACAAACAGGGGCAGTGCTGCACCTCGCAGTTGAACTCCACCAACACCTCCAGCCAGAGAGCCAGCTGTCCTTTGGGGTTGCAGAAGTCCAGCAGCCAAGTGAAGGGTATGTGGCCTGTCCGCAACCAGAGTCGCTGTCCACAGATGTAATTACGAAACTGCAGGTCTGAATCACTGCCAGTAGTTCCCGTTGAGTCACACAGTTGTGTTCCAGCTTATGTAGCGTATGGCTGGCGATGTACACGACTATGCATTCCCCATTGGGTGCTGCCTGAGACAGCACTGTGCCTAGCCCCTTGGTGTTGGCATACGGGTCCAAAATGGACGGAAGCTGCGGGTCCAGGTAAGCCAGCACTGGAGCCTCAATGAGCACCGTTGAAGCTGAACTGAAGGCTGCAGAGCAGGCATCCATCCAAACAAAGTCCTTCGCCTCTGTAAAGCAATGAAGTGGCTTTGCCATGCTGGCAAGTTTCGAATATACTTATATATACTATATATACTTTGTGCTTTTGTACCTGCTTCGTTTGTCTGCTACGAAATACAGAGAAAAATGGTTTACTAAAAGCCGTATTAGAGTGGTGTGTCGGGTGTCCCTGTCTCTGTGTACGTGGGTGCGCCTCTCATATCCCTGGCCGTAAGAACAACTGCCTGTAGTACAAGGGAATCGCTAGGAAACTGCCGAGCTGCGCAACAGAGTGACGGATGGGCCAATCTCTCACTGCTGTGGTGTTTTTTGGATTGGCAGCCATATCTCTGTGTGTTGTTCTGTTGTCAGGTCCTTACTGCTCTACTGCCTCAACTCCTGCAAAGTCTGCATGGTTTCAGGAGGCAGTTCCACCACAGAGCTGCTGTTCTTCCTGCTCTCTGATGAAACTACAGCTGTGCGGCTGGAGATAGCAGGAACAAGCAGGGTCCTCTTTTGGAGGCTGGGGACTGCCCTCTTCCTCCAACATGTGGTCAACTCCTCTCCCTTCCTCTTCCTCTGATGTATGGGCTGTGTCGTGACGTGGACAAGTACAGGTACAATGGAATGCTTCTACCCTATCTTGCTCTCCAAGAGACACACAAACAGGTCGGAGCAAGCTTGGGGGTAAACCAGTGTGTGGTGCCCCTGGAGTTGATTGAGAGCCTTGCTCAGGGGCCTGGAGAGTGAGAGTACGAGACATGAGGGATACGAGGGATTACAGGACGCAAACTGGAACAGTTTGGAGGGCCCACAAGTGAGTGGCAACCGAAGTCTGCCTCAACAGCTAGCAAGTTGAGCGCAGAAAGCACCAAAGACACCACACTGAGAGCAGCTCCGTCTGCCGTCCTGCTCAGAGCAGCCGACCTTGCCTCCAAAGCCATCTTTCAGTTATCAGAGCTAAAGGCAGTGCTCAAGCAGCGGACCAGCAGCTGCGGATGGGAGGTGAACATCCAGCACCTGTTCTGCCTCAGGTGGTGCCACAGAAGTCGCGTGACACTAAGGGTTGGCGGCACCTGGGGGAAGCCACACCACTGGCGCCCAGCCTCCCACTCTCCCCAGTCTCGCCAGTGCCTGCTAACAGCCCCGTACCCCCAGCCTCCCGCTCTCCCCAGTCTCGCCAGTGCCTGCTAACAGCCCCGTACCCCCAGCCTCCATCAACAGTTCAGCTTCACCAACTAATAAGGACCCTGTCCCACTTTATGCCTGTTCTCACGCTTGCCAGCTGTGTGGCTTCAGTTTGTAGGCCTGTGGCCAATGAGTGGTATGGGAAGAGGGAGATATCACATATAAATGACATACATTTATTTATAAAGCTGCTGATTTTATTGAATAAGACTTACAGCTCATTAATTACAACTAAAATTATAACATAAACAAACCAGTTCTTCATTCAAATCATGTATGACAGGGATATATTTGCAGGCACAGGAACATGTTTGGAGCTTGAAGTTGAAAGTCAGAAGTAACCATGGACGTCCTTAGGTCCAATCACTCAGGGCTATAGCCCCGTTGGAGTCACATTTATGTTGCATTTGCTTTCACTGTTTTACGGTGAGGGTGTGTGCATCTCATGGTGTTAGGCACGGTGGATTGTGATTTACCTGAGCTATTGGAGCTAGAGAGGGGGTGAATAGGGATTTCGGGTTACACTTGTAATTCTATGTCCTGTGCCTTGTCTTATTGTATAATGAAATAAATAGTTCTTGACAAGGTAATACGGACTATGTTTCATGAAGAATAGAAGGCAAGTCGGACAGACCTCCCTACTTTAGCCTCTCGCCTAAACAAGCCCCAAGTATTTTATACCCGATTCTAATCTTTCTTCAAAAAAAAGGCAAGCCTGACTCAGTCCCTGATCTTTTCAATAGCTAGAAACTCCCCTGGAAGCAACCAATAGACTTTTCTGAGGTTCTTTTGCATCATCAATAGCAATCAACAGCTAATAAAATAACAAGCATGAAAACATAGGCTGGCCAAAGCACACTCATTGTATCAGCAACGTGAACTGCAGCCTGAAATACTGATTGCCAAGGTAACAAATGACAACAGACACTGCACTATGCATAGAAACTGAGAGCTATTGATCGCTGCAACATAACAGCGAATGATTGTAAACCAAATGTTTTTTGATGAAATCTATAGGCGTAGGTACAATGCCCTACACATCCTGACACAGCATTACCACCAACAAGCACCTGAGCAGCCCAACTTCCAGCAATACTGTTTAAATTTGTTGCTGATAGGATACCAAGAATCGGGAATGTTAACGAAATATTTTTGTTCACTAAAACAGAATATATATACTGTATATAAACAGAATACATATATATTTATGTCCATTGTAGTGGACATTTTATTTTTGCTGTTCCTGTTGTGCAGTAAAGAGGACATGCTGTGAAATTAAAAATAAAAATTAATTTGAAAAAAATCTAAATTGTAAGATGTCTTATTTCCTCGAAAGACAAATAACCTAAAATTGAAGGACACTTTTTTTCCTTGGGTCTCAGGAGGAGACCCTTATTTTCACCTAAAGCCACTAGCAACCTCAACCTCTGTATGGTTTAGAAAGTGTTTAGCATTTAAGAGGTATTTCAGCTATTCAACCCTTACGGATTTTAAAATTGATATAGCATATAAAAATATCTGACATCTGAAAGATTTACTATGTCACAGCTTTATGTGTTTCTCTCCATCAATCTCCCATAAGCACTTTTCCAGTACAGGGTCCCAGGTGAACCAGTATGTATATCATATTTACAAAAATCTCTCAATTTCTCATCTAGCATGGGGGCCACAAACTCTCCCCAAATAAATCAATAATACGACATTAAGGTCTGAATAATCTGTAACATATGTAACATTTTGCAAAACAGCATTTTTCTAGTGACACATCTGTGATTCCTCTAATATATTGTCAAAAAGAGGGGATCTTATATTGCATATGATAAAAATCCAGACTGGAAAATAAGAATATGGGTAGAGTGCAAATTAATCTTGCTGTACAAATGCATTATGGGAATTTTAATGTTTCACTACCGCGCTAAATAGGATTGCTACATTTATTATCCGCCATTATTATAGACTGTAGCTTAGAATAAAAATGCCCACACCGTAATGTTGCCTTCATTTTTACAATATTTGAGAAGGATACAATTACCAAATGTTTTAAAATCCTTGTAAAAGATTAACATATTAAAACCTTACAATCTTATGATTAACATTCAAAGTCATTTCATAATGTGAAACATCCCCCCATCTTTTCACGGCCACCAGGGGGCAGGCAGCACAGGGCGCCAGGATATCAGGCCTACATAAGGATATGTAGATTTCTTCTATTCAAACTACTATGAACAAGATTAGGAAAATTAGAGGTTACATAAAATTGCCTTACAAGGGATCACAAAATATAATCCAACTTCAAATCACGCATCCTGGTCAGAGTCGTAGGCGGATCCCAGAATCTCTCTCACGCAGCACAGGACACTAAGCTGGGTCCGCCTTGGACAGGATGCCAGTTCATCAGCATCAGTGCTTGTTAAAAAATTGCAACATTTCCAAACAGATATTTCTCTACATACGCTTTTCAAACTCCAGTCACTTGCGTTCAGTCACCTTCTCTTTCTCTTTGTCCATGAGATCCACAGATATGGGACTTGGGCACCTCCATTCAAAGCATCTTCAGCCCCAGCAAACCACCGCTCTTCCCAGACATCACTCGTCATGTGATCATACGCTCCGGCATCTCCAGCCCAGAGGAGGTCGGGGCGCACAGAGCAGACCGAGGCTGTCGTCTTCCCACCCCTAACCTTCCCTGATCTCCGTCCCTCAGTCTGCCAGCAGCCTTTCAGAAATCAACAGAAACTGGGCTTGGTCGGCAATGGCTGCAGTTCATGCTAAGTGGTCTCCCCTTTCTTACTTTTCTGCGAGAACATAGTTCAGATAGTCTTCTCCTCACCACCATCATTTCAAGCAACATTTTATGTATATTTTCTTCTTTTATACATTCATCTGGTCACTTTTAAATATTAAAATACAGTTTAAACTCAAGTAGTCAAAAAAAGAACTGTTTTGGTGATCTTCGGTGCCCACTTTCACTGCTGTAGGAAAGGCTTTCAGCAGCTGTTGTGGTTATCCTTCACTGGCATATAGCCACCACTAGAGGGCTCTAAACTCAACAATGAGGACTTGGAGAGAACGTTCCCCAGCAGGCCTGGAGTTAGAGTTCTACTTAGTGCTGTATCCAAATCAAGCCCAGGAAATGGCACTGGGAAATGAGGTAGGCCAGGCAGATTGTGGGGAAAGATTGGAGGTCCACAAGGAAATGGAAATGGGAGGACTCCAGAGGGATTAGTAGGGGTTGACGTTGCTTCAGGTGAATCCTCATCTTCCTCTTCATCCTCAGTTTGCTGATCCTCCGTCGTCGAGTTAGAATCTGGGTGTCTTGGCTGACCGTGATGTTCCAGGGGCTCATAGGAAGAGCTGCTTTGGATAGGTCCACTGTCAACCACCCTCTCCCCAACTGAGTTACCTTTCACACTGCCCCCTACTGGCTGGTAGCTGAAGTAAACATGACAGGGCTCATAGCAGCTGGGGTGCGTGGAGCAGAAGTAGCCCAGGTTTGAGAAGCTGGATGACTGGCTGCTGCTCTCCCAGTGTTCTGGCAGTCTGGTGGAGTCCTTCTTAAACAGCGTGTCGGTGTCCTTGGTGATGGAGACCTCAATTGGTGAGATGTCCTCGGAATGTTGGGAAATGGAGAAGGACTCTGGGGGAAAAAGGGGGCTGGGCCATTTCTGGGGGGGGGGGGGGGGATTAAGCAAAAAGTGAATCTCAGACTGTACTACAAGCCCATCAGTTCACAGCAATCTGCCTTTAACCTGGAAACTTGCCATGGACTCGACAACAAAACTTTTTTTGTTTTTTTTTTGACGTGGTTTTGCGGTTAGGCACCTTGCCATGCTGCTGCTTAGACATTTTGAGACTTAAAAATAGATATTCTCCTCCTGAACAAGGCACTGACAAAGGAGTTGCACCACTAACTGTCCATTGCTTTGAGCAGCAGCACAATTTAAGAAACTTGTATTAAATGAAGACACATTCCAACAGAAGAACACAAATCAGAAGTTTAAGATTCGGAATCTGCCGTCACGTTACCTGTGTGTGTGTGTGTGTGTGTGTGTGTGTGTGTGGGAGCGAGCCGACGCTTCTTTCAGTGCGAGGGATTCACAGAAAACAGAAACCACAGCTTGAGCGGCGCTCAAGCATTCGTTTCCCAGAGAGCTGGGGCTTTTTTCGCGGGGAGACTTTCCTCTCAAACAGCCCAGAAACCAGTCAGAAAGGCGCCTTTCAGTGACTCAGAAAAAGTGCCCTTTGGTTCAACCTTTACAAGAAAGTCAAATGAGACGGCTGCAGTGTAGTATTCTGGATGAGTATAAATTTGGTTGGTCCTTTTTGTTTTTAAGCTTTTTATTTTTTGCTTTTTTTGGCCTCCAATTCCCACCCATGGATACTATTTGACGGTTAAAATTCACCATCTACATTGTGTACAGATGAGTGTCTAACTTTGGCATTAACATGCTGTTACAATTGTGCAGCTCTCTAGTTACAGTGCTCCTATATTTCCTGGGATTTACAGTTTACAAATTGGTTCCCATAAGCACTGCACTCCCAGCTGATTGCGGTATTTGGAGAACATATTCGAATAATCACAGGGGTCACCACAGGGCGAGAGCATAGATTGAGTTTTTTAGGTTGGTGATAGGATTTTTTACCTTGAAGTCTCCATTTCCTTCAAAAAACTTGGATGGATCAGGCACTGTTTTTAACAAGAAAAACCTAAAAAAACACAGAAACAAAAGAGACAAAAGCACAAAATTAATTAGTCTGCATGTGCTTCTTATCAGAATAATGTGTATATGTACCTGATCCCATGTATGTATAGTACACACGGTAAATATGTGTGTACTATACATATTCTAAGCCTGTCTATCTCATTGGTACCTGTCTAACTATATCTGTAGCTATATCTGTCTTTCTGTCTTCCACAGCAGATAACATCTTTGTCTTTAGCTGGTACCAAACCATTTACTGAGACCAGCATCCTGTTTTCCTCTGGTTGTCCTCCCCGTGTCCCCATACATTCATGCAACAAGCCCAACCATAATCCCCAGTGCTCACCAGTTGGGCCGGGTCACTTTGATGATGATGATGATGATGATGAAGGTGAGGATCAGACAAAATCCCAGGACTGGGAGGCTGTACGTCAGCCCCACCAGATCCAGATCCAAAGATGCTACTAGAGAGGAAAAAACTCTTTAATCCATCAACAAAAACGCTTTTGAGGAATGCAAATCATCTTTCTATAGGTTTTTCACATGCTGCCGGCTGTTTTGGGGGTGTCTAAAATAGCTTTGTTATACCAACAGATACATGCATATTTAAATGAATTTCAAAAATATAGGGAATATATTAAATTTCAGTGTTCGGTGATGTGAAAATGTAGTCTGGAATTTTCTAGGGGCAAGATGAAGGACACCTGAGAACTGACATCAGAGAGACGCAATACCTGGGGACACCCCAACTGTAGACCTCCAGGAGGACACGGGGCCCCAGTCACTCCATTCTCCTTCAAATTCGACTTCATCAACCAGAGCCCGAACCCTGAAGTCATATACGACCCCCTTCTCCAGTTTCTCCTCGGAGATCTCCACTGAGGTCCGCATGTCTCTCACGTTGACAGACTCTGCGTTCTATTGGAGACACGTCACCGTTTAGCGGACGGCCTGGTGTTTAGCTGCTAATTTTTTTACAATTAGTCTCATTCCCCCCCCCCTTTTGTAAGAAGTCACTCTTGCTAAACACATAAACTGGTTTGCCTGAATTCCGGCAAGTGGCCACAAACAGCCGACCTTGTAGTGAAGAGTCTTTTAATCTGTAAATACTGAACTACGTCAATCTGTGAAGTTTAACTTTGTGAGACACGTATGCGATTTGGATAAAGTGCAGTATAACATTGCTGGTCCTGATAAACCAGCTAGCGTAGACACCATCCTCTGAATGGAACACACAATCAAATACCTGTGACTAGGAGTTCCTAACCATGAGGATGTAATTTAAAAAGACAAGATTAAAAATCGCCATTGTACCCACCTCCCATTTTTGGCCTGACTGCTTGAATTCCAACTGAAAGCGAAATCCTCCCAAATAGGGGGGCCCGTTAAAATTCCAGAAGATGCTGGCATTTTCAATATTGGGTGCAGAAGGAGGTTGCAGTTTCACTGTCAAAAGACCAGGAGGGAAACAAGGAACACGTCACTTTAAAGACGCGTCAATCTGTAAAATCTTCACTTCGTCTGTGGCAATAAACTAAGACTCAATTGCAGAAGAGACTCACCAGAGCGAGCTGGGTTGTACTCTTCGTCATAGATGGCGTTTGTGAAATTCTCACACTTCACTGTCAGGTGAATGGGCGTGTCTTCGTAAAAATCCTGAAAGACAAAATATTATATCATTTATTAAGCAGGGATGTATGAATAACCATTTTGGGTAGCTTGGAAACTGGGGCTGCGATTGGTTGTTGCATAGCTGAAAGAATTTCACAGGGACAAGCCCAGTGTGTAACCGCATTAAGCAATTACGCATATCTCATTTATCATGTCTAAACAGTCGTAGTAACTCACTTCATTCACAAAATAGAGGTTGCAGCCATGTAATTTCTGTCCAGGGTCACCCAGGGGCCTCAGTCTGCAAGTGCTGCAGATGTAAGATAAATGAAATGAATAAAATAAAATTAATATCTTTTTTGTTTGGCTCCACCTTAAATGGAAGGTTAGGGTGGGTATTCTAAAAAGTTGGAAAAAATAACATATATAGTTTCTGCTCTTTACTTGCCATTTACCCTCTATGTCTAATTCAAATATCAAATCGAATTTATTAAATGCAGTGTTAACAACAAATTACTGTTGTTTATCTGCTTAGACACTATTCTCCTACTTATGAATGACTAGCTATTTAATATGCAGCTGTTTAAAAGAGCTACTATTTTTCAAAGGTCCATGAACATGATAGCTAATGTTCTCGCAGTAACACTCACATCTCGGCAGCATGTTTTCCAGTTAAGGTACAGACTGTGTCAGGCTTCACTCCTGTGCTGTTCCACACACAAGTGATGTTGTTGAAGAAGTCGTTACGGCACCTCAGACCTGAGAGGAAAATAGGTGACGGAACTTAAAACCCACACAGGCAAAACCTGACACAAACACAGGATCTGCATTCCTGATCACAGAGGTGTGGCAGTGAGGGCCTCACCCACTGCACCAACCACTGCGCCAACCACTGCGCCATCTACTGCACCACCCCGCTGCCTCAAATTCACACCACTACACCCTGCAGATCATGCTGCATTTTGCACATTCAATATGTTTAGGGACATACAGTTTTAAAAATGCATGGCAACTGGGGGTTATGGACCCTTTATGAACCAACAACCTTCTGATCACAGACACAGCATCCTGAGCCACCCCCCTCCAGCCCCACTTTCTCCCCTTTCTGACCATGTCTGGGATTCCTTCTCCAAAGGCAATGCCAGTGAGGTGTGGCAGTTCACAGAGATTCATGCTCTCTCACTAAAATCGCAGAGCTCCACTGGCGAACGCTTACTCTGGAGGCTGGGCTGTGGAAACGCACTGAAGTGCAGAAGCAGGAGGAGGGGGGGCAGCCACTGCGTCCCCATCGCTGACACAAAGCACCGTCTTCCCTGGGCCAGCGGGGGACAAGACCAACAGATGATAAGCCACTTTCTTACCGTTTGCAAACATTATGAGTGCCAAAGCAACAAAGCACAAACCTTAAATTCACACACACACCCATATATATATATGTGTGTATGTATGTGTGTGTGTGTGTGTGTGTGTGTGTGTGTGTGACCTTTGTACATGCACTTTTATATGCTGATTGCAAAACTAATTACATCCATCCATCCATCCAACATCTTCCACAGCACTTATCCAATACAGCATCACGGTGAGCCTGGAGTCTACCCCATAGAATCCTGCATAAAACAGTACTCACTGAAGCACAGTGACTGCATAGCACGGTGTGTTCAAGTACACACATAAACTGAGACTTTTGGAATGTAGATTACAGAATGCATTAAACGTCAGGAATTAATTTCAGGTGTGCTGACACATTCATAAGTTCATAAGGTTATGTTATATCTTATACCCCAAGGAGCATTCAGCCAGTTACTCCGGTGTGCAGTGGACAGTCCCACAGAAACGGAATACCCGCCCACATGCGTGAAACGAGAACGAAACAACAGCATTTGCGGGGGAGAAGAGAAACCATGTACAGACATGGGCAGTGGTGGCTTAATGGTTACGATTGCTGGTTCGAACCCCCGACTTGTGAGGTACCCTGAGCAAGGTACCGCCCCCAAGCACCTAGCACTGCTCCCCGGGCGCTGAATTAGCTGCCCCCCTGCTATTTCACATATGGGTTAAACGCGGTGGACACATTTCGTTGTTGTGCACTGTGTGCTGTGATGTGTTAACAATGACCACTTACTGTATCACCAAACTCTAAATTATAGATAGATAGTGTGGCAAATGTAGCGACAAATTCAAACACCATCTATTCGCGTGTAATTCATACGAAGCACCACTTTGACAGCTTTACAGAGTAATGCATATGTACAAATGTCGTGTACAACTTATGACCACTTCCAACAAACACTAACCCCCCGTGATTAGTCTGAGTACTTTTCTGTGTGTCGGCAGCTGAATGTTTCCTTATTACCCGGCCACTGCTTTGAAATCCCGTAAAGGCACCATAACGTGGCATGTGCGTCACCTACGGGATACTGAATCATATAGCCTATTTTACACATCGCAGTGACGATCTAATGAACTTCAACTAAATCCGTATAAAGCAGTTTTTTTTCGATTTAATGGAAATTCCCAGTGACCCTAAGGGGTTGGAAAATGGATGGATGGATGGATGGAAGAAATATGCTTCAACATAGCGGAAATAACATTGATGATGTTTCTATTTCATTAGATTATAGATTATAGATTATCAAAATTAGATTAAATAAAAAGTCGAAAAAAGAAAAACTTACCTTTTTAAACTAAAGTTGTGGTGGAAACGGTTTCCTTATTCGAGACGTATTTTACATTTTTGGCTTTGGCTGAAAGGATGCATCTGTTGACGTATATTATTATTTTAAAGTAATTATTATTTTATATCCATAAATCGAATTTATTCTGTCACTCTGTTAAAACAGTATTTGAGCCGCATCTGTTTCTATAGTGTATGAATAACGGTGCCTCCCAATGAATTTCATGTCTTCGGCTTGACTGCTTCACCTATCCTTCCTAATCTTAATCGAAAAAAAAAAAACAAAAAACCCAGAAACAAAAAAACAAAGCTATAAAGTTAACAAAGTTAAAAAGTAACGTGATAACGCAGCAGCCACCGCTCGCAAGCTGCCGCACATTCTGCGCGTGGCTAGCCTTTCGGTCGCTTTTCCCCGCCCACCATGACACGCTGACCAATGACATTTGCGCCGCAGACGGAAAATTACCGTCACGTTGTCGGGTAAGCATATATGGCGCAGGGCAGTAAGGGGGCACGGAATCGCAAACCCTGCCGTAAAGACGCCGGTGTCTACGTGGGCAAACTTAGACCCGAGACTAAGACCCACAATTAACGGTATTGTCACAGCTTGTAGATAAAACGAGCATCATGTTCATAAATTAATTTTACATGCCTGTATGAAATCAGTCCCCTAACTCCTGGGCGTAAATTACGGGGGGGGTTTATAATTGTTATAATGAAGCCCCTCCTCAGCCACTTGTCTATCAATTAACGCTTTTCCCCCTGTTGTAATCACCAGATATGACGGTGCGGTTCTGCCTGCCTCTACGAATGTGACATTTCTCCATCAGACTTCTCGTTATAGCCACAGTTGCCTGTGAAAAATGTCTGACGTGTACGTTCTTTGTGCTTGTACACAACAACAATTACATGAAAAATGTTTGGGGTTTGGGGTTGCTCAAGGATTACAGATGAAGTCAAGTACCTTTTGCCATGCCAGTCCAATAATGATGTCAGTTCAATCGGCAGACTTATTTTGTCTAGCTGTAGTGCACTAATACACCAGTTATATAAAGGTGTAAAACCAGCAACAGGGTCTTGCCAAACAATTGCAGTGGTCGGCTTCCATCTTTTATTCATCCATTATTTAAAAAAATTTACAGAATCAACATCAGAACAAACAATTATTTAAAATTGCTGCCTAACTGTGGATACACTTCCTTTGACCTCAAATGCCTGCTGCTCTTTTGCACGTTATGCCTGGCGAAGGTGTCAAAGTAGGCAAAGACTCCATCATTACAACCTCATGCTCTTGCAAGAAAAAAAAATGCCAGTTAAAGGCTGCGGTTTGCTATGGAACAGGAATCGACAGCAGCTGCGTGGGGGATACAGCAAGGTGACAAGTGAAGAGACTCCACCTGCAAGGCTTCAGCATGGAGGGGGGTATGAAGAACACTGCAAGAGTCAGAGGAAGTTCAGAGGAAACAGGTGCTGTCTGGTCAAGTCTCTGGGCTTGTGGGTCAGACTTTGAGTTGCCAGTTATAGTTTAAAATAACCCCTAAGTGGCTTGGAGGCTGAGAGGACAGCAGCCCAGCTTGCGTGGTCGCATGCCATTTCCCTGAGGTACTCCGGTGTCCTCTCACAGTCCTGCAAAACATGCAGTTAGGTGAGTGGTGTCTCTGACTAGCCCTTAACGTGTCTACGCCCTGCCATAGACCAGTAACTTATCTGGCGTGCTGTCTTCCTGCCACGGATGCGGTGTCAAGTTTCAGTCCGCAGAGACGCACGATTCTTCCTCCTTAACTGCTAATCGATGGCATGAGGAGTTCATGGCTTCTGCGTAGAAATGACAAAACTATAACCTGGGAAACACATTTTTCCAGGTAGCCTACTGGTCTGTGTGTTTCCTTGGAATTTTGTTAACCAATATTTCTGGAAATCATCTAACCCCATCTAAACTAATGATAAGACATCCTGTAACATATTGTGGTTTCGCCACTCCTCTGATACTTTCCTGTTCTGTTATCATAAAATGGCTCCGCTTCTTCTCAAGAGATATCAAGACCAAGCCCCTTTGCGTAAGGTCGGTCTCACTAGCATGATGAAACTGTACATTCACCAGAATTGTGACAGTACAAAATGTTACACTCCCCATGAACCTTGGTTCACACTCAAGTGCTACCATTCTGACAACTTAATTGATAAAAAAACTGAAGATATACTTGAAATTTGACAATTGAACTGTATAAATTATATAGGCCTATTAAATTGCTGGAACGGTTACTTTGTTGCATTCTTGTTTTATTGGTTTGTGTCATGGAAATGTATGTAATCCAAAGGAAAAGAAAGTATCACTAGAAATTATTCCTCTGTTTTTTCATGAATCATGACAAATTGGTATGGCTTAAGGAATAAAGAACAATATTTAAGTTATTCCTCCATTGAAAGTGAACGTAATACAAAATTACGTTATTTACATGAATTTACATAGTGCCATCAATTTGTGCTGGGTGACAGAAATGCAGTAAATAAAAATCCATAGAAATATTGTTTCAATAAGAGTTACACTTGCACAAGATTATGTGACAAGGTGGTGATCAGTGGAAAGTGGGACAAATTTTAAAATGCACAGCCAACGTCACTCAGCCTACAAGCCCCGAATAGTCTGGAGCTCTGTGGTCAGAGGTTAGATATGAGATGAAACTCACAGAGGTTCAATTTCTCCGTATGATTGCATATGCATATGTGTGCGCCTTTGTGTCTACATGTGTGTGTGTGTGTGTGTGTGTGTGTGTGTGTGTGTGTGTGTGTGTGGGTGGGTGGGTGGAGGGGGGCATTTCCTTGTATCGGTGTTTGTCGTTTCCAGCTTCAAATAAAAGCTTCAGCAAGAACATGCAAGACTTTGACCCCAGAATCCACAACCTCCTTCTGACTTCCCCTCTGCCTCAGGTGTCTTTACATCACACCATAACACAATACATTCATATTACAGTGTAGTTATTTAATCTTGTTAGTGGAATTTAGGGACCGGTTTACTGGCCAAATATACACCAAGCTTGGTTCTTCTGGCTAAAAGTGAAGAAGTTCACAATGATCCCTGAAGAAGCTGAATGTTGTGCGGCGATGGGACACGGAACAGGTTGTTTTTTGGGGTTAGTGTTTGGGTTTCCCCTTTTTGGGGTTTCAGGGGCAGCGCAGAAACTCGAAGTAATAGAGAATAAAGGCCATAGATATGGGAAATACAACAAAAGCAGTTCTGGCAAAAAAAAGATGAAATATAATACAGTCGCAGCCGGTGACTATCTGGGTCCAAAGACTATGGCATGAGTAGACATTTAGGCCACATAAAGCATCCAATGTTCCTTTAGAATGTCTAAATCAATGTGGGACAAAGACAAAACATGCCCATTTTTGTGTCCGCACATAATTTGCACAAGTGATTTTATATACAGAGAAAGCATGTTAAATAAAACTACAGTATCTACTTTAATGTTTCAAATAACATTTGGGAAAATGAAATGTCAAAATATGGGTGAAATATTGTTCCAAACTGCTGAATCGTCATTCATGTAATGGTCCACACCTTGATTTTACCATTACATCTCTAAACAAACATATAATATACCAAGTACATATTCGTTTTCCTGGCATGTTTAAATCAGTTCTGGCAGTGTTATATTAAAAGGACAATGCCTTGTAGTTTTTCTTAAGTATTGAAATAACTAGGGGACTTTTGTCCCAAATGCACAGTTCATTAGAGATCATTCAGTGTCACGGTCTTTGCTCCCCATATCATTTTAGTGCAGAAGAAGAAGAAAAATCCTAGCAAATACAATACTGCGTGCTTAGACCCTTAATAAATAAAATCAATTATTAAAATGACAGACAGCTCTCCTGCTTCCCTGCTTGCCGACTTACCCGAACGTGACAATCTGTGACCCAGCATTGTGGAACGTCATGCATTTTTCAGTTCCCCTGTAGCGCATTATAATATATACATTAGAAATCTGCAGCACTCTCATTAAAATTGCCATTTTTTCCACATTTTTCTCTGGTGTCTACATAGAAGGCATGTGAACTTGGTTTGGTCAAATAATATACAGAAGTGGTTTTACAGGCTCATTTACAACCGGAATGAAACAGGCCATTTTTCCTTATTTGGTGGGTCCCTTAATATGATCGTAATCTCTGTTCTGATTGGCTGGTTTACAGTGAGGCTCTGTGATGCCTTACACAGAACCAGCATGCAGGACTGGGACAATAAAAGTGAAACACCTGGTTTTAGACCACAGTAAGTTATTAGTGTGGTGCAGGGCCTCCTTTTGCAGCCAATATGGCATAAATTTGTCTTGGGAATGACAGATACAAGTCCTGCACAGTGGCCAGATGGATATTGAACCATTCCTCTTGCAGAACAGTAGCCAGGTCATTATGTGATGCTGGTGCGTTGAGCGGAAAGTGTGCTGGCACGTGATAAGTTCGGGGGTGTTATAAGTTCGAGGGTGTTGTAAGTTCAGGGGTGTTGTAAGTTCAGGGGTGTTGTTAAGGCTGCTACATAACAGTCTAGGAATTTTGAAACAGCCTGTTTCATTCGTTTCTTTTACATAATCATGAATTATATTTGAAAGAGGGTTTGACAAGTGCTTGAGATGCCATTTCCATCTACCAAACTCTCCTTTTTCAACTATGCCAAAGTGAAGTCAAATTTTCATTCTATGGTACCTTTTAGATAGATACCATTCACTTGCCAAACATTGGTGTCTTTTTTTTCCAATTTTGTTTGTGGCTGTTTAAATACCATGATTAAGCAGTGTAGTGACAGCACCATGGCAAATAATTACACAGGCTATCTAGCACTGTGGAGCTGTTGTTTAACTCCTGCTAATAGGAAAATACATTCGATATGAGCTGGCACTGGTCACTTTGGTCGTTACCAATGTGTCCTATCTTATTAAACCAACCACTGAATTATTCAAGTTAGTAAAAAAAAACTGTCAGAGTTTCTGAGATAAAGACCGTCTCTCTCTGAAGTCAAAACATAAAACAGAGGCTGACTACTGAAAAATTGCAGGTTTCTGTGGTCTGTCGCTGAAACCACGTCAGTGAAGCGCTACACATTCTCACATCTACACATAAATGGCAGCGGCAGAAAAAACCTTGTTTTTCCGATTCACATGTTTTCTCTCCCCACTGTAAAGATTTTAATCTCTTTTCCATCTTTTCTTTGTGGTGAGGCACAGCTTCTGATTTTGGATGATGACCTTTGATGAAACGTTATTTTGCAGCGTCTGAAACAGCAGTAAGGCAAAATTCCCCTCTTCCTCTTTTGTCTTTTTCCCTTTCTTTATCACAGAATTTGGTGATAGATAATGCGTGATGCGTTCATTAGAACCCCCCCGTTTTCTCGCTTATCGCCGATTATGTGACTCAGACATTCTGATTCTACCCCGACCCCCCCCCCCCCCACAAAAAAGGAGGGTATAACTGCTATATAACTGGATTCAACTGGATAATAAGTAATTTTTGTTCCTGCAAGGAATTTTAAGATCACACTGAAGACAATGAATGATCACGATGAATGATCCATTTGAAGCTGAAGTAAGACGTTTCCAGCGTGTCTGGCTTTCATGAAGAGCCAAGTGGGATATGTTAGAACTACCTGGTTACCTCATGGCATGAGCAGAGTGCCTCAATTTTTGGTAGTTAATTTCAGTCTCACCCTGTCCTGTCCCACTCTAGAACACAGTTATAACCTGCATGGAGGCAACATAACAAGGCGTTGACAACTTGATACCGGCCATGGTCCTCCACTTACTTTCAGTCGGTTTCCTTTGTTTTTCTTGCACCTAGAGAAGCCACAAGCGGGGGTTTTTCATGAGGCCAGGCACACCGGCTGCGGTGTGAAAAGCTTCTCAAAGCAGCATCAAAATGCTGATGACCTCCAGTTTTGATGTGAAGGAAGTACAGCCATGGAAAAAAATTAAGAGACCACTCTATATTTTTAAACAAACCTGCACTTTTTAATCCTGGTATTATCGTTATTCTGCTGGCAGAAGGATACGCTGAGCAGAATGTTGCTTCTAGGTTCTACATTTGTAAGACAGCAGTACGCAAGAACAAGGTGAAGCAGGAGAAACTGGGAATGACCAGAAACCAACCAGGCAAGAGGGCGGAAGCAACTTTCTAATGCCAGAGATGACTGTTAACTTATCTGACAGTTTCTCATGAATCAGAGGATGACATCAAGTGACCTTCAAAAGGAATGGGAAACATTAAGTACAGGTGTGAAGTGCACTGCTATGACAGTTCTTATCAGACTCCTAGAAGCAGGACTGAAGTCCCATAAAGCAAGGAAGAAGCCCTTCATTAATGAGAAACAGAGAAGAACCAGCCTGCAAGTTGCAAAAAAAATTAATGCATCATTCACAGACGCACATCCATAACTTGAGAAATCAGTGAAACAAAAAAATCGTGCTGTGGTCCCTTAATCTGTATGTCAGTCTTTACCTTACGGACCAGAACAGCAGCCACCAGCTGCATGTTTCTACCTAATTTTCCAACTCGAAGTCACATTTTAAGTGGCTGCCAGGCTTTCAGTTTGGGGTCTGTGTATGTAAGGTACCACACTTCCGAAATAAAGAATTGCGTTACCCGCAACAACAATCTGTGGCATTTATGTTGTTTCGGTAAAATCATGAAGTAAGAAAAAATATAAGATGCACTGCCCTCTGAACTGGGTCCTTATATCTGAAAAAGGTTGGGAAACGGTGATGCGTGCAGTGGGCATCCTCTTATTCTGTCTCACGGCATTGTCTGGATTTTAAAGCTTTTAACATTCGCAAATGTCACAATTGTGCAAAGCTGCAGAAGTCCCTAACAAGATATACACTGTATTAATAAAAGTATTGGATCGCACCTCATAATCATTTAATTCAACTGTTTCATTCAGACCCTTTGCCACAGGTGTATAAAATCAAGCACATAGCCTTGCAGTCAAGTTTACAAACGTTTGTGAAAGAATGGGATGTTCTGAAGAGCTCAGTGAGTTCAAGTGTGGTACTGTCACAGGATGCCACCTTTGCAATAAGACAGTTTGTGAAATTTCTTCCCTGCTAGATATTCCATGGTCATCTGTAGGTGGTATTATTGCAAAGTGGAAGCTTTTAAGAACCTTAGAAACTCAGCCACGGAGTAGCAGACCAAGTAAACTAACAGAGCAGGGTCACTAAGTGCTGAGGTGCATAGTGTGTAAAAGTCATCAGTGCTCTGTGGACTCAGTAACCGCAGAATTCCTTCCTCTGGCATTAACCCCAGCACATAAACTGTACAGTGAGAGCTTCATGGAATGGGCTTCCATGGCCGAGCAGCTGCATGCAAGGCTCACATCACCGAGTGCAGTGCGAAGCGTGGGATGGAGTGGTGTAGAGCACGCTGCCACTGGACTCTGGAGCAGTGGAAACGTGTTCTGTGGAGTGACCAATCACACATCTCTGTCTGGCAGTCTGATGGATGAGTCTGGGTTTGGGTGAGTTTGGTGTGGAAGAACCTGACTGTCCCGCACAGAGCCCTGACCACAACCCCATCAAACACTTTTGGGATGAACTAGAATGGAGATTCGGAGTCAGAACCTCACGTGCAACATCAGTGCCTGACCTCACCAATGCTTTTTCGGAAAAATGGGCAAAAATTCCCACAGACACACTCTAAAATCTTGTGGAAAGTCTTCCCAGAAGAGTGGCAGCTGTTATAGCTGCAAAGGAGGGACCAACTCCATATCGATACCTATGGGTTTAGACTGGGATGTCAAGTTCCTGTAGGTGTAATGGCCAGATATTGCAATGCTTTTGTCCACATACTGTACATTCAGTTATAGCTTCACAACTACCGTGTTGCTGTGTATTTAAAGAAGAAACATTCACGGTGAACATTAGGCACCAAGTATGGTGCACATGCACATTTACACGCCATGGGAGAACAATGGCTCCCAATTTCTCATGAACAGAAAGTCCTGGGAGTTCCCAGAAGGAACCCACACGAATAACAAAAGCACACAGATAACAGCATACAGGCAGAGCTATTACCAGACAGTATCCTGTAACAACACAGCCACTACCCACTCATGCTGCATAAGAGATTTCACCTTCACACATTTTAAAGCTATTTAATAAGCTAAGCAGTTTCTCTGAACGATAATGTTCAGTGAGGAGGCATATATTTCATCCCTGGAGGTGATACTCGAAGTGCTATGTGCTGGTTTTTGTTCTCTTTGGGGACTATTGGGTGCATGCCTAAAATAAATTACCCCTGAGGGGATAATACATTTTTCCATCTATCTATAGGACAGAGCTGGGTCATTTCTACAGTTAAAGTTTTTTTTTCCCACCATGATTTTTCCCTAGCATGGTTGTGAGAATACGCCATTTTAACATTTAACCATGTATCGTAAACTCACCCCCCCCCCCCCCACTTTGTGAACTGTCATAGGTATGTCAGGCTCAGGGAAGAGAGTCCACAGAGACGGCTACACCTGAAGAGGGCGGGGGGCAGTCCATCACAGGGCACATGGTGGTATGGGGCTAAATTGCAACCCCCCGAGTCAACACACCAATGACTGGAATCAGCTCTGCTTAGGTTCATTTCCAACGGGTCTGCTGACAACAGCAGATACAGGATGCCAGCCAGTGATGGAGAAACGCAAAGCCAGGTCAACTCAAAGTCTGTAAAATACTCTCCTTATTGCAGAATCACAAGTGGTTAGAAGATCAATGGAATATCTACAACCAAATCTAATTTACTCATGAGCTGATTATTAATGGCATGACAATGATTACAGGTTATACTGTATTGTCCTACTTCCTGAACTATCTCAAGATCACATAGTTTAACATTCAACAGACATTCAAACAAAGAAGCTTCATTAATTCACACTGATTTTGTACTTCAAGGAAAAAAAAAACATTATCCAGTGAACTGTATGATATCCACTGGTTATATACTCACACAATTTACAAAATCCTGCAAAAGCAGTTCACTGGTGATTCTGATTTTTTTTGCTGAAGAATGTGTTTGTTGTAAAGTGCAAAGTCCGGAACATTGGATCATGGAATCACTTCATCGTTAAGTACTGGGCTCTTATGAGCATGTTTGACAGATAGGATTTCTGGTGCTGAGGAAATCAGTCCCAAAATCAACCCAACCCATAATCAGTCATAGATATGAGGACTAAACGAAGAACAGCAGAAAAATGGAAATATTCAGTGTGATTCTCACTGCAGATTGAGGTTCTACTGGGAATTAAAAAAATATCTGCCACCACCGACTTTCCGTCACCTTTATTCTAAAAATGAGGCCATTGTGGTTCAGAGCATTTCCTCAGAGCTGAAGAGCGCAGCTCTGGGGAGAAGCAGACGGCCTTGGGCATTTATTTACGGTCTTGTTCCAAAGCTGCCCTGCACTCACTCCGCTTCACTGTAGGCAGCATCAAAGGAAGCAGGAGCTGGATTTGATAGAGTGCTTTCTGATGCAGATTAAATAAAACTGAATTGAAGTGAAGACTGATCATAATCTTTGGAACTGAGTCTGCGTGCCATCGCTGCTGCGAGTCAGAGAAGGTACATCACCTTCATACAAGAAGGTGCAGAGGTATTTTGGGTTTTATAGGTGAATAAGCAGCAGGAAGCCATCAGCAACATGGCGCAGACATTGTGGCTTCTGTATCTCGCAAGGCTCAGAATATTAAGGAGGCTCCTCTGAGCTGGAGAAGGTCAGGTCCCTCTAGGTGGAGGTGAGCTCCTCGATCCAGCCGGTCATCTTGGTGATGCGGGTGTAGACCCCATAGTAGTAGGGGCGGCCGCAGCCGATGCCCCAGCTGACCACGCCTGCAAGGAACCAGCGGCCAGATGTCTCCTGGCACATTAGCGGACCCCCAGAGTCTCCCTGCAACAGCAACACGGACAGATACAAGTCACTTGAGATTAGTCAGTTTCCCACAAGCCAGCTCACCAGCTTTCAACTGTTACACCGAAAATACTTCAACCACAGAGACTTACCCTCACTACCACTCTGTAAGACTGACAACGAACCTTAGGCTGCTAAGACCATAATGGTGCTGCCAAATGCTG